CCTTAATTTTGGGCAGGGGAACGGCCCATTTTCCAGCTTTATCTTTACGCTTTTCCTTGATCATGTTCGATAAGACTTTTGACCTGTTTTCTGCTGATCCTGCTCCGGCACGATCCAATAAATAAGATGGAAGGGCGCCTTTTTGAACTGCCCCTGAAACATCTTTCTTGGTCTTGGAGAGTTTCTCTTCATGGGCTTTGATTTTCTTGCGGATTTCGATTTTTTCGACTCTATTCTGTCTATTGAGAATTTTTGCTTTAAGTCCAATTGTCTCTCTAGCAGCCATGGCATGCACGTGGGGAGATCTAGCTTCTCTTTTGCGCTTGCGCTCGGCATAATCCAGACGACGCCCCTCTTTCTTTATGGCCTCCTCGATGTATTCGTTCTGAGGCATTTTAAAAAATAATTTAAAAAAAATTTATATTGCAAGTTTTTGCACTTAATTTGCATTAAGATATGATTAGCAAAACAACATTGTTATACCTCAGCATTGCTACCACGGCCACAGCCATTGGGGCATGTGTAATTTTAAAGCCGGCTTCCTTTTCTCAATTTGGCTCTCAATTTTCTATATTCAAATGCCTTGGTCAGCGGTCTAGATGCAGCAAAAGTAGTGTCAGCGCACTCAAGTCGCCCGAAGAATGGGTTAGTTTCGAGGTGATTGGAAATTCCAAAGTGACACACAATTCGCATTTAGTTACCATGAAACTACCCCTTGGGACGACCAGGCTAGGCCTTACCATGAATTCCTGTTTATTGGCTCGAATGAAGACAGCCACCGGAGACTATCATGTGAAGCCCTACACGCCAATTTCGTCTGAAGATGAAATATCGAAAAGCGGCACATTTTCGCTTTTAGTTAAAAAATACCCAAATGGTACACTGTCTCGCCACATTTGTGAGCTCAAGCAAGGGGATATGCTCGACATGAAGGGACCCATTGCAAAGATAAATTTAGAACAAAGGTCGCCTAATGGCACTATTGCTTCCCTTGAAGGTGTCAGCCGATTAGCAATGATTGCAGGAGGGACCGGAATAACTCCCATGCTTCAGGCGGCAGAACATATCTTAAAAAGCACCCCAGAGAAAAACTCTCCAAAAATATCCTTAATTTCTGCTAATGATTCCAGTGAAGACATTCTTGCATCTGAGCAACTGGAGAATTTGGTCAACTTATATCCGAATAGGATTGAGGTTCATCATGTTTTGCGCAACAATGAGGGCATGAAAAGTGCAACATCTGGTCTTGTGACTTGTACTGTTCTCGAAAAACTTTGTGTTGTTCCTGCAGAGACCCAAAAAGTTTTTGTGTGCGGTCCGCTGCCTATGATGACAGCTGTTTGTGGATCGAAAGCTAAGAATATGGACCAAGGTCCTCTGGAGGGTGTCCTTTCCGAATTAGGATTCACATCTGACCAGGTCTATAAATTTTAGGTTAATAAACCATCTTTGCATTTAAGAATCCTTTTTCAGAAAGCTCACTTTTTGTGAATTTCTTCTGCATTTTCCATTGCATCTGCCTACGATCTGTGATACTGCTGAGGTGATAACTGATTCTGAAGCAAACGTCACTCAAATTAGGCTTTTACCTGAACGTTTTGGAAATTTAGTCTGTGTTTGCCATGTTGGTGCGATTGTGGTTGTTTCAGCTGCCATGTTCTTTGTTTTCTCGACAATAATATCAGATTGGTTGCGGATGCAAATTGATTTTTTTTCCGATTAACAACACTCTCATGTCCAAAGCACCCATTAATTAAATTTAACTAAAAGATTCCATTTTAATAAACATTTTCTCGGTAGCTCTGTAATTTCTCTAACCGGCTATTTAATGTAACCTGAATTTTATTAGTAGTATATATAATCTATTAGAAGGCTGAATTCCCTTAAGGAATGATACAAGAGTTGGGGTTATGGCCAGCTTTTTTGTTTGCAGGGAATTCAACTCATAAGAATAGCCAGTGGGAAGGATGCATTAATGGATTGCAATTAAAAAGCCTTTTAATGTTAAATTAATTTTGGACAAATATCAAGCTTTAGTCCCTCAGCCTTTAATACATCCATAAATCTTCGCATTTTTCATTTTGGTAGTAAATTAAAGGGGGAAGTGAACCTTATTGTCGGACCAGTGACAACGGACTAAGAGTTTGGTTTTTTAAATTTGAAAATAAAATTGGTTTTTAGGAATAGAAGAAGGCGATAATGTACTTCAACTAGAATTTTTAGCGTTTTGAGATAAAAAATTACCTTGCCAATAAAATCCACAAGCAAGACAAGTTGATAATCAAATTTCAAGATTTTAATTGTTCAAATGGACAATTATTTAACACTATATTCTGACTGGATGCAAAATTTACGGTGCAAAACAGTCTATAAAATGCAGGCAAATTTTTCACAAATCTGTCCACTTCAATGAACGTTCGAAGACTTTTATTTCTCACAGGATTCGTTGCCATTCTCGTTCTACCTTCATTGCAACTTGAATCGACACAAAATATAACTAACAACGAATGTTTAGAAGATAAAACTAAAGTCATACAGAAAGAAGATCAAACTGGCGATAAATGGCCACAATCTTCAGATCCCTCTGAATTTGAAGATTTTGTAGCTTTCTATAAATCGCTAAAAGACTATATCAATGAAATCCATCCCTGTAAAATCCAGTAAGTATTTCCGATTGATGTTAATTCTCATAGGTCAGATAAAACGGTTTCCAACTTTGAGTTTATGCTAATGGCAATTTACGTGATTTATGCGCTTTTGGATAAAGAGCTCTTTTATCAGAATCTCTCAAACAGTGTTGTTTTTCAATGGTGTTCAAGCCAAATTCTTGATTTTTCCGATAAATATGGGGTGTCGTCTAAAAATCGTACACCGACATTCCGACGTTTTTTTGAATATTTGTATCTGAACATTAAAAGAATAATCGATGCTACTTCGATTGAAGGGTTTGATATTATGATATTTTTTCTATACTTTTATCTACTCCACAAATTCAGTGCTGATATCTCTGCAGAAAAGAGCTTTATATGCAAATTTGCGGTAATAAGCTCCAAAATCGGAGTATTTGTGGTTTATTGGGGGTTTTCTGGACGTTCTGCTAATATTATTTTGACATACTTCGAACCCTTCAATCGAAGTA